CTTAGAATAAAAATGATTTATAGAGAATTCTACTTTAAAAATCTTCATACTAATTTATGTAACAGAACTGTTCTGTAAAAAAGTGACGATATCTTTAAATGGAAACTCACTATCGTCATCCTTGTGCACATGCTGGTAAAGATTAGGCGGCTGGCGCGAAGCGTGCGTGGGTGTAGGAGATGTCGGTTGCGACCAGTGTTGCCCCGTACACCCGGTAGATCCTACGGGTACACTGTAATACGGTTCGACGCCCACGCCCATTCCTACCCCGACTCCAACTTCCTCACCGACGGAGGACGATGCTCCACTTCCTCTAGCTAACATCGATGGATACATTTTTTCGCTTTTCGTGGATCTGCGAAAACAGAGTGTTCGCCCTTTTGAATCGCTGATGGCAAATCGCTTTATTCGTTGTATACTTATACCGTAAAATGCTTCCGAAGACTGACAAACAGTTCCCCTAATCAAATTTATTTACTGGCGTAAGTTTCACCAAGGAGTTGAGTAGAAATATTGTAGTGATCGTTTGAGAACTGTTTGCATCTTCGGAGAGTAAAGCGCGCAACGTGCATCGATTGATATCTAATATCGATGTTCCAAATAAGAATAAGAGAAAGGAGGAGAAGAAGACGATTCGTGTCTACAGAAACGTAGCCGATACTTTAGAAAGTGTTTTTTTTTTGTATCTCTCGAAGGCGAATCCACCCGAGTACTTTTCTTCAAAATAGAAAGCACAGTCACATTGTATAGATACTTGTTGCAGTTTGTTACGCTCGACTGCGTGCAGGAATGAGATCGGTCAGAATAGCATAAGTTAAATCTTATACGGAAATTGGGTCGATGCACCAAAGTGGTTGCAAAGGTAACGACGATTTATGTATTATGTACTGTAAGAAAATTAAAACATTCCTGAAGGCAGTTGCGTTTTTACATGTACGCGTGTCCCTCGTTGAATGAAAATTGTTAGATGCGAAGAAATCGCCATTCATGTCGCCCTCGTTAGATTCGATTCGATAAAAAATTCCGGAAAGATCAGTCGTTCGGACAAGGGTTCTTCGCATCTGGCGTTCAGTTTACTTAGGACGTAACGAGAATACGTCTGTCTACCTAGCGAGTGTATACGCAACTAGTCGATCTGGAAGAGACATCCTAATTAAAAGATAAATTCCCTTCCGTCGTCTGAACGTCAAGCGGCGCTCGTCGATCATGTATACACTCGTACGGTTCAGTAACATCACAGTGAAAGGAAACGAGTTAAACGAAAAACAGAAACGGTTTAAAAAACGCTTGGAGAGAAACCGGGAGTCGCAAGAGACGTTGATTAATCCTTTTAAACTGCGTAAAATTTGCAAGACCTTATGCAATTTATTTAAGACGTTTTTCACGTTTCCTTTCATTGTGCAGAAGATTCATAATGAATAAGCTTCAGCATGCGTTTGCACAACAAGCAATAGATCAACCATAAAGTACGAAGAAGATACGAGGCATCGATTTGATCGGAGGTAACTATCACAGACTGGCTGTTCAAATGGTACAAATGTAAAACAGAAAAGTACTTGACAGAATTTAATAAAATATGAACGAGTGTGTGTTTAGTGCGTATAAACTGTCACTCGTGTGTACGTGTAGAGTACAACAGAACCATATATATCATGGTCCTGTTCTTTCAATACTTATGCATGGAAAACAGGCTCTGGACGAATGTGTATTCTAGATTTTCTCACTACCTTGGGAATGTCCTGTCCCGCAGATGGCTAGAACGGTATTAAATGGTCTGCTATTATTTAACCGTAAAAACGGATCGTTCGCTGTTCATAGAGTGGTTACAATTAATAAACAATGGTAAGAAATCAAGCCGAAACTGATCGTTTCAAATAACGTGGTGATGAGAAAAAAATTGCATCCTCTAATCATGCATCTATACATATGAATGTATGCGAATGATGTCTAAAAGATTCTTGACCATGTCGTGAAAACTAATATGCAATGAAGTGGATGGGTTCTTTGTGAACTTACCTAATGGAGTTGCTTCTGTTGAGCCTCGGCGGGGCCGGTGATCCTGTCGAATCTCTTTGATGTATCAACAGACGAGCGTGAGTCAAACTTGCGCGATGCGAGCCCAATGACTCCACGCTGTCGGCTTCGCACAAGCCCATTCCTGAAATATAAAAAGTTTCATAAAATTTAACGGATTCTCTTCTTCTGTTGAGATAAATAATTAAATAGGACAAATTAACTTGGAAACAAAAGAATTTACCTTGAGAACGACCACTTGGCGTGTAAGTATTGCTGTGTCTCATCCAGGATGTGGTATACGGACTGTTGGGCGTGTAATACCCCTGAAGGTCAGGCGCTGCATAATTGCTGCATGTATCACTGAGACTTCCGTCGGATGGCTTGAGCACCCGTGGCGAGAAGGAAGCGGTCGTCGGACCCGCGCCGGATCCTCTCTCGCGGTGGTGGGCAGATGCAAATAGCGCCGTAAATTCTGGGCTACCGGGTTTCGGTAAGCTCTGCGATCCAAGCATGAGTCGATCCCGCACTGACTGAGAAAGTTGGCTGGCGCTCGGCCCCGTAAGGCTGTAACTCTTGTAGTGATGTCCTTGATTTGACGATGAAGAGTTAGCTTGAAGTTCGGTGGTACAAGTCTGCGTGCCACCGGACACTTTGACCTGAAATAATAAAGTACGAAATTTTATTAGCCAGCGTGTAACATGAAACTGGCGTCCAGATAAAAATAGAAGCAAAATTTACTGACCTTCGTCCTTGGAACCGCGCTAACTTGAGCAGTCCGTGCAGAATCTTTCCCATTTTGCACACCGTTAGGACTTGGACTGGTACCAGCACTGTGTCTCTTAACGTATCCGAAACTCTGAGGTACACCCCTAACTTTGCTGCTGCCGCTCGTCGATGTTCCCGATGAAACTTTTTGTGGTTTTTCTCCGTTTGCATACTCAGCCATGGCCTGTTTTCGATGTTTATCCTACGAAAAAATCAAAAGGCCAAATTGAGATCCAAAATAAATCACAAGCCATGATGGAAAATGTTTATTGAAAAAAGATTTAAAAAATACCTGTGTTAAGCAAACAATGAAAAATCAATATTCTAAAGTTCGCTGACTTGTACGAAGGGACAAGACTGTATAAATGTTTACCTGCGATCGCCTGGAGGGACTAGGACTCGGGGGTGCGCCCTCCTTGTCTCTCTCCCGGTCCCTCGCTGCTCCGGCCTCGATATATTTCTTCCATTGCTGACTGTTCGAGCTGCTGTTCGCCGAGCTGTTCGAGCCGGACTGCTGTTGGTGTTTGAACGCCGAGTTCTCCGTTTGCTGCGAGCTGTCCGATTTTTTCACGTGGGGATGATGGCCAGGGTGCCTGGAGCTCACCACTCGGTACACCAGGTTGCTGCTCTGCTGCGCACCTTGGGGGGTGGCCGAATTACCGCCACCCCCCACGATCACGCCTCCACCACCCGGCACTCTCTGTTTAAAAAAAAAAAAAAAATCCGGTTAATCTCTTGTTAAAATAATTTATTTATTTAATCTACATTTTAAATCGTTGTTTTATCAGCGACAGAATCTTTCACCGGATATTTTCAGCCACCCTTTAGATTCCTAATAGGATATCGCTGCAACTGCAATCGAACTTGCGACCTGGGTCAAGGACTTCCGGCGAGGTTGATCTCACTATTATCGATTCTCACGCACGAGGCTCGTCAGAGAGCCAGAACCCTCATAAGTATGATTCAGAATAGGGCGCCATGGCGGCGCGGCGGCTGTTCGAAGGGGTACAAGACCTCTCTCGACTACCAATCGACTTTTACTATTTGAACTGTGGGAACACCGTAAGGCAAATATTCATTCCCACATTTCTTTTCTTAAGCTCAAATTACGTAACATATAATAATATCTGAATAACGTATTACTAAATTTTAATAATACTTCATTAAATTTTCATTCTTGTTACTTTCTTGCCAATAGCTTCCACCCTCGTATAAAATTATGAAGCCAGATTGATTTATGATTCATGAAACTAAATGATGTGCGAGTAAGTGCTCGTAACCGTTCAGCGTTCTGAAGTCTCATTCGGTCCTCTTAGTTCAAATAATCAATCAGAATCGTTTCAAACGATCTGGTAAATTGACGGAATGAAAATTCTTTGATCTTCCAGCTGTGCCATGCCTCGTTCCTCCCAATCCCTAGGTTCATTTACCACGTCGGGTTACATATAGTATACCAAATGACTCATGGGGGTAGGAAACGCTTCCACTCCGGTTTTTACTATCCAGATCGTAAACGCGCTCCGAGAAGGCCATAAGCCAGGACAAAAGATCCCTGTGGGTTGAACGCGGCTTTTTCTCTTACTGCCCTTTAAAGGCGTGTTTACACCGATCGAAATGACGTCGACGGTAATTTCCTCGGGCCTTACATCACCGCGTGAATACGGAACGATCCAGAAACAATAAATATCCGCGGACCGCTTTATCTTTGAGCGACACTATTGCCGCGAAGATTCAAATAAACGGCTGATGTGTTTCCAAGTACAGAACGAAACGATCCTATCCCGTTCTTTCTTTTCCAGCTAGTTTATTCTCGGAAGTTCCATCGTGAAACCATCCTTTCTTTTAACGAGAAGAAAATACTTGAAGTCCAAAGGAAGCGATGGTAAAAAAAGAATTCGCGAATATCGAAAATTTCTACAGATAAAATCAAAATATCTTTCCTTGTTGATTCATAAAATTTAGTTGAAAGCACTCACCATTTTCTGTACTAATGGTCAACGATCTACCGCCAACAGTTTCTTCGCATTTATTTCATGTCACCACAAACAGCTTAATAATGTGTTATAAACGATCGTCTCATGTACTTCGTCCATAAGTTATTACAGTCTGTTAATTTTACGTTAGGCTTATCACCGATCAGTTCTTTCAACACCACCGGTGAATTTCCAAGAAACACACGATAATATCTCCATTCAGTGGAAGTTGTTATCGTTAATTACGATCCTTCGTGTATCGCGTTAAATAGTTGTTCGCATAGTTATGCGACGTCGTGCCACTCGGTTTCACTAGAAGTCGGGCAACTTCGAAAAAGCACCCTCGACGAAACTGCGTAAGCTTGCCAACACACGTGGGCCACGGGGATTCAACCGATCGATAACGGCGAAATACCTGCGTGAACATCAAATGCGTCATTGGACGGGATAATTAAAGGATAGCCCTCATGTAAAAGCACCCCTGTTACCCTCGACGACTAGTACAATTCAAACTGCGGGATCTATTTGCTTCAGACACCTTTCCGACCGATGCAGATTTTAAACAGCGATCTCGCTTTTGCTATTTATTTACTGAAAACAAGTTAACGTCAAACTTGTATCACACTTTACTTGTATTTGGAAATGTTGATATTATATTTGAAATAAATAGAAGACGATATTCAAAAGAATTGAGAGGATTCTGCGTTTTATACAATTTTTGTTAGACGTATTTGAACAAAAAATTCAATGAAATCGTTTGAATAAGGGATTTGTTAAGGAAATGTCAGACACAAATATTTTCAGATGTAAAGACACCGTTTCACGGTAAATACGGTTCCAAGTTCGCTTAGAAATACGAAAGCTGAAAGGCTCCTTCATCGACCGCAACTGTGCAAACAGTATCTTACACCAAAACTCCGACCCCTATTTGATCCAACAATAAAAGTCGCCTAGCGAAGGAAATAGCTAGGTGTGAAACCAATTTACGCCACGGAACACTAATAAGAATTCGTTATGACGGCATGATATTTGCCTCGGGGAGTTAGGAGATCCTTCCAGCAAATTAGGTGATTTCATCGAGGGGTTTCCTCAAGATTCGTAGTTTACTAGGTATGCGAAAAGTTCTGTTCATTCTTTCGTTAGACAAAACAACAGCGGGAACCCCAATAATAAACTAAGTAAATTATACGTGTTAAAAATAAGTGTTTTAATGTTATTTATTTAGAATTAGAGATACCGGTATTTGTATGGTAAAGAATAATATTTTTTAATGTATTTGTCACTATGATGGAAGTATTGTTCCACGAAAACACTACCAGCACCACTATCGTTCTGCACCACCTACAATGAACGTCACGTTTCCACAGTCAGACGAACGTTAACTGCCAACTACGAGGGTCGACGATCCATTCCTCACTGCCTCGCCCCCCACTTTATGCCGCTATACTACTTACTACAACGTTAGGCTGCCAAATACAATGCCACAGTTTGACAACCAAAAACTATGTCGAAGAAACAAATAAAAAAAATTACGTACTTTGTATAATACATTTCCTAACTCTTTTACGTTTTATATTCGTTGAATTATAAACTGTTCTTCAATTAAAGTATTTATACCTTTTTTTTTATTCGTAAAAATATTAAATGAAAGTGGGAGGAACTGTTTTATATAGAATTTTCTTTTTTTGTTTATTATACTGAGAATTAAAAAATGGTTCTAATCATCAGGTAAGTTGGCGTTCAGCCAACGTGATTTGCATTCGAAATGGAACAAAGTGAAGAGCAGGGGATCGTTGTTTTGCAACTGTTGAGGTGTCATGCGAGCCACACCCCAGCGGTTTTCACCCTTCTGGTCTTTTCCGACGCGGCGGCAAGTTGGCAGGGTTCAAGAAGCGGGAAGGAAACGTTACTTCGAAGCTGATTACATTTCGGGCCGGTCAGGGATTCTCGATTCGCAGCAGGAAAATCGAGGATTATCCGTCGACGGATTATCGACTATGAAAGGATGATATATAACTTTTCACGTAAAAAGGTATTCCTCTAAAGAACCCTTTAACTCGATTCCATTGATCATTCAGAAATTACTACCGGACCAATAAAATAATTATATTTCGTTTCGCCGTTATATTATAGCAATAAAAAATGAATGATTGAAGATGTTTAATGTCAAGGGAATAAACTACAAATCCAATGCTACTCATTAGCATATATTCCCATCCGTCCATCAAAAACAGATTCTGAATCGAACTTTTCCCATTCAATTCCCAAATTACATTGGTACATGAATAATTTACATAATTTGCACATGTATGTGAGCGTGGAAAAGAGATAATCTTCACGGCGCATAAATTATTTAGTTCGACAGAATTTGGTAACGGATAATGAGCATAAAACGATTGTTAACGCAGCCGGTGGTACACGGGTGAATTATCTGTTGCTGAGATGAGCGATAATTTGTACGCGCTTAAAGGAGGAATGTTTTCCGCGTTTCAGCGAAAATTAGTGCTTAATCGGTCACTGTAGTTTGCATAACGAGCAGTATTTATTTGTTCGCAATGCTTGCATTACCGTGCAAACGCAATGAATAAAATAAACGGGACTGCGGACTGAATGGGTGCTCAGAGAAACGGTGAAGTAATTGCGGGAGACGCGTATCCTTAAAATACGACGAAATAAACCAAAATGAGAGAAGATGTTAAGTTCCAGAAAATCATAAAACTCGAATATATTTGCTTTCACTAAACCAGGTTTACAATTTGAAATAAGAAGAATTGTTCATCTGACGACATGAATTTTATTTGTTTTCTCACATTAAAAGATAGATGAAAAATATAATTCTAATAAAATACACGGAGATAAATCTCTGAAAAAAAAATCGTAGAACCAGGGAACGGCTAAATTAAATTATGAATGATACAAAGGAATTCTATGAGAACTTCCCGTTTGCTCTAAAAGAAGCAAAAATAACTCTTCTAATTACCGGGCAGAAAGACGTAAACAATGAGCAGTGGTGCACCGAAGATGACAATCATGATCAGCGCGTATTATCAGTGATAGACGTAGACAATGAAAAAAAAAAAGGGCCCGAGCCTGACGCTGTGTCTATGGCCATCGGCTCTATTCGCGGTAACTGTTGCCCACGAACGACAGAAACCGAGTTTGAAAGGGTGCAGAGGCGAACGGGAGAAAGAGAACGGTTATTATTTCACCAAGCAGATATCGATTCCATTCGACGACCTGCCGTGACCCGGCTGCATAACTCACTGCAACGCGTGTATGGATCTATTTACGTTAATCCTCCTCTTCTTTTTCTAATTAAAGAAAGAGAAACATTGCAATTGTATTCTATTTTCTTTATAAAAAATTCCATAGACAATGAGCTCATTCATCGTCAAATGAAAAACTATTATCGTTTGAGAAGGTAGATGTTTTTCACAAAATCAGTACGACGTCGGCATGCCTCGATTTCCAATCCGTTTCGAAACCTGTGCATTCTTCTTCGTTTCATGCGACGATGCACCTGGGACCTTTCCCGTTGACGGAGACGTTGTTTACGTTCCCCGAAAGAGTTTGACAAATCCTTCGCCTCGGGAGAACGGAAGAGGATGCCGCGGGAGGAAAAAGAAGACGAAAAACGCCAACGAGACGGAAGCGAAAGGATAAAATATGGAAGAACGCCGATGCGCCGGGAGAAAACTCGGAATCGATACTGATCCTTGAAGCCCACCCACTTGCGTTGTAGTATACCGGTATGAATTCAGTCCGAGGGTGGTGTAAAGCTTTTTATTTTCCTCTTGCCTCGCGTCTTTGTGTCCATTGACTGACAGCAACATTTAATCTGACATGTCAATACTCATTTCATTAATTAATCAGTAAGTGAGTTCAGTCGCTTTTGCAATCTTCAAGGGAATTGAATGATACACGATTCAACTTCAACCCACATTTCTCGTCTTCATGCTGTGCGCGAGGTAATTAAAATTAGTAGCGTGAGAAGTTTGGATTGCCTGCTTTAATTATGATGTTTATCAGCGCACTTTGGCTCAAGTTTCAACTCTACAGAGCTGTCGTAAAATTTTTAAATTTATTAGAGCGTCACGTCGCGTCGTTGAGTTCGGTTCGATCGAGACTCTTCAGGGAAAGTTTAGGATAGTGGCAAACGCGTACTTTTCTTTCCAATTTTCTTGGCTCGCTGACAAAGCACCGAACGTTCTGTTTTTCTGAAAACATAGCCAGCAAGAAACTGACACCCACTCTGCGGAGAACACCCCGACCGTTGAAATGTTTCCCAAAATCTTTGAAGCTTTCAAGAAAATAGAAAACAGAAAACGAAGACAGGAAGTACTGATAAGGAGAAGAAAAATGTACCGCTGGTTACAAATACCGAGATGCACAAAACGAGACAAAAACCAATTGAAATAAACTTTAAATTCTAAGTGTTCGCATATTTGCTGCCGGAATGAAAGATAAGCGATTTAGATAAGAGATGCTTTACTGCCTTCCGAGAATAAAAAAGTGGATTGCCGTCCGAGCAGAGTTAAAAATTTACATTTAATAACGGGGATAAGAAGAGTGCAGATAAGGAGGTACGAATGGAAGTTAAGAAAGCCGTAAGAAACGATGAGGACAAATCGAACGACAATACCAGACGCAGGCGAGGCGAGTCGGATACTTTCTTTCTCCCCTTTTGTCCTTTATTCGCTCCGATAAGAACGTTGGGAAGTTGGTCCGAGATATCCCGTGGGTCCTCTAAGCCTTTTATTCAACCGGGTACGTAGCATGTAGTCGGCGCGGGATGCAAAACGCATACGTACGCTCGAGACGGCAACATACGGCGCGGAGTTGTATGATGCGCCGAGACGAGGCAACGCAACACATAGAAAAAGGGAGCCCACGGTGAATGGGGCTATTAAGGGAGAAAGGGGGTCAAATGCAACATGCAGTGTTACACCCGATGCAACGCGGTCCGTCTATCAAGGGAGATAAAAGGGGAGAAAATAAACGCGTGTTACCGAGGCCGACTTCGTTCCGGGGAGAATCATTCGTGACGCGAGCAGGCAATCACACGTTGATACAGTACGATTGAAGAAAAATGAACAATAATAATAAATTTAAAATTACAGTGCGATATGTTTGGTGAGACATCGAAATGTAAAGCTATTTAGAAACGCCGTTAAAAAAGATTATTCTAAAACTCTCTGACCTTAATCACTGAGATTAAAAGCGGTCAATAAAAATTTGAACGACATTGATTGTGTAAATGTGAAACTCGATAAAAGTCGTCGTTTCATTGCGATTCGAATCGAATCGGCGGCGACGTGACAGGCGACCCTTTAATTCAACTTCGTCTGTAACTCGATTTCCGACTCGTGCGGCAAGCATTTAATACGAACCACCCAGTATATGGCAGCTGCACCACGTAACAGCTGACACATACGTGGTGGGTAGGCATATACGAAGGAGACGCTTTGTAATTTCATTGTTTGCACTCGAACTCGCATCCACGCTCGTTCGTGCACTTCAGCTCGTCGTCGAGCCAACTTAGGTACGTTTCGGCTGAACCGCGACGACGCGGGAGCGCGCACACAGCCATTGAATAATTAGGTGGCAGTGCGTAATGCGTCGTGAATAATTATTATATGTCGAGTGGCACTAGCGTCGTTCACTGTTCGGATGCGTTTGGCAATTATAGAGATTTGGTTCAAGAAACCGTAACGACTAACGAATCAGCCACTCACGCTCGTTCCACGCTCGCGTCTTTCTCTGTCTCGTAACGGCCTGCGCTGATGTAATTTGCATTGTTTCAGTTCGTTACCATTCATTTCAAATCGGATCAATCCGCGGCAGGCAGCGCGGTGCGGCTCCGATTTAAGCTTAATTAATTTCCGCCTACGTTTGTCGCACAATTTGATGTCAACTGATTAATGAAACCTAATTGATACCGAATCGACCGAACTCGGTGCGTCGCGTCCATTGTTGCGTATTTACCGAACAAACCATGGGTGAATTACTTTGATTGAGGTTTCGCCAGACACGCGACCCGGACAGCAATTAAATAAATAGACTCTTGTAGCTACGGTTATGATATGTCTCTAGTGTTCGTCGTGTTATTCCTGTTCTATTTGCACCTCTTTTCGATTTGGATATTGGAAAATTGACGAATTCGATTTAGATGATAATGCAACAAGAAAACATGTGATTTATACCAATGATTTATATCAAGACCAACGAATTGAACGAAATGACTGACAACTATGAGAACAGAGAAACAAACCGTTTGTTAGAAGCTTCAAAATCGAGGATGTAGACGAATTCCGAAAATACCAGACGAATAATAAAGTTTCAAGTGTTTAGTACAGTTACGGAAGGCAGCTGCGCGATGCAGCCGGAGCACCGTGCCACGGTTATTTCGAGCTTTATTTTAAAGAATGAACAACCACCGACGAAATATCGATTCAGGTGAAGTTCACTGACCTTGTGATGAGAGGAATGGCCCGTGTGATTGGCGGTGGTGTGATTTCCGGCGGGAATAGATGCCAGGTCCTCGATGGTTAACTCTGCTAAGGCGTCGCTGCCGCCGCTGCAACCGCCTAGCAGCCCGCTTCCTGGACTACCCCCGATGCAACCTCCATCCGACCTTACCACGTTCGCCGAGGGTCTTTTCTGCACCCTCCTCGAGGTCACCAGTTCCTTCACCCCTGACAACTCTCGCCTCGAACCACCCACGTATCTAAAAAAAGCACGTGCCGTTGCTCGTTAATGTTTACGCTCGACCGACGCGAAACGATATTCGATTAAAAACCATTTTTGCTGGCTTTTTGTTTCGCGTTTTACTCGTGTTTACACTTTTCACTACCGCTATACAATTAGCGTCATTACTGACCCAATGAACCGTAAAATGTGAAATGAATCAAGTGTTCTTCTGTTTTTACGATTACCTGACGTTAAAATTCTTTACTGCAGGAGAACGTAACTTGTTATTATATGATTTCAAACCAGCTACGTTCACCGATTGGAATTTCTACCATGTTTCGTTTCAATCATGGTTTCTAGCCATCCGAGGAGGTTCCCGAGCAACAACAAACCGTACGCGGGCTATGGTAGCGAAGCTTTTCTATTTAGAGACACTTGGATGAGCTAACGCGCGGAATATAAAAGCTGGATGTACTAGACAATGGCGAAGCGCAGTAGCTTTTTTTTTTTTGTAAGGAATCCCTGCCTGAAACGCTGCAGGCGTTTCAAAAGGTATCTGCCGCGGCTTGCTCTAGGGCTCGTGAATCGTGCCAAATGAGGGTAGGATTCAAATCGTATAGAAATTGCTCTATTAGCGAGATTAGATACCCGAGAGTCAATCCACTCCGCGGACAGCGTGCCAGTATCCCCGTAAACCTGTTCCAAATCGATGAATTGCTGTCCGCGCGTTTCTGTCCGTTCCCTTTGCCTCGGATAGGCCTTCGTGCTCGCCGTCAATTAAAATTGCAGTCCAACTTATCCGACGAAAAATAGCCGCGTTTCTTTGTTCGATCGGTGAACCCTTGGGTGTTTGAAAACGTTGCACAAATTTAGTACGGAACCATCCAATTATAAATAAATTATATACTGAAGAGCTTATATGTCGTTGACCATCGAAACGAAATCGATAATGGTCATTAAGCTGACGCGAAAGGTCGAACGGTGATACCGTTGGCTAATTAGCCATCGAGTAACATAAGTTGGCGCGATGACGGAACGGACGGATCACGTTTGCTTTGCATTTAGACAAGTCGTCGCCGCCGCCGGGTAACAAATTCGCTGACGCAAATCCTAGGATGTCCCGTGGCTCGTACGATTAATAATTCACGAATCACGCGCGTAGGATTAGGATTATGCACTGCGCTTACGTGAGCATACCGACGGTGCAAGTCTTTACCAGCTAATGCGATTAACGCACTCCCGCTTCTCATAATGCTTTCGCGACATTTCTTTACAACCTTCCGCGACTTCTTTCGCTATAATTATTTGTTACAAGTTATTGGAAACGTAACGTAGGAAGCGTAATGGTTTTGCATGCTCGTATCTTGCGTTAAGAACGAATCTGGTATTGTAGATTATTTTTACAGTACTAAATTCTAACAGACTTAGAAATTTTAATTCTTAATATCTACGTAATGCGATTTGTAAATTGCAGAAACTAAGTAATGAAAGTAGTATTTTGTACTTAAATAGAAGACAACAATGAGGTCTGATTTTACTGTTTGTTATTTGCTTGCGATAGAAATATCATAAATGACTGTACATAAACGTGAACTATATTTCGAATTATTAACCGTGTACAAAACTGCAATTTATCACTTTACGCGTGGAGCGGCGTTACGAACTTCTTGATGTTGTTGCGTACCGAAGGACCTCAACAAACTAACACTCGTGATCGATCATTTACCCCGAAAACTTTCCCTAACCTTGACATCGAGTGCACCGATATTTCCCTACCGCTGTCCTTCGACCGGCCAGAAAACAAAACTTTAGAAATCGTAGCTTCGTCGAGAAAACGAGACTAAACTAAAGACTGCCAATGAAAAAACTGACTTCTTGAAGTGTATTCTTGTGCGGACCGTCACTCACTCTCATAACACATCACAATAGCGAAAAAATATGTAAAATTGGTCCTCGTATCGATCAACTGGAAAAACGATGAAAAAATAGATCAACTGAAAATTATCCCGAAAATTTAGATACACAGACTGCGTAAATTTCTTTTCGCACAGGAGGTCAGAAGACGTACTCGACACAACACAACGCTGATTCGATGCGATACGGTAAGAAATGTGTGAATCCGCAGAACGAGCGGAATATGAATGATGTGGCATATAAGAATTTATACAAGGAATTACCCTGAGTAACGGCTTGGAACGCGTTCGTCGCTCTCCTTGTCCGTGCAGGACGTCGAGGTTCTTAACACTTCCCGGGGAACGTCACAACGCCGACGATGCGAACGAAAATAAGATGATATCTCCCGGCGAGACCGACGAGGGAAATAGGTGTAACGCGAATGGTGGACCTTGACGAAGAGGCAGCCGGTTCCTCCGTCCCCGGAGAACTATCGCTAACCGCGAGTTCCCGTGCTCGTCGTCGATCGTGTACGTACGTACGTTTCGTTCGTTCTCGAGCCCGACGACGAGCACCCCCACCCCATCGGCGCAACACTACACCGTACGTACGCGGACGGGTTTCCCGTCAAACCAACCCCCGAGAACAACCCTCCGCGCCCTCCTCAGCCTTCGCGCAAGAACCACCCTCGGTGGCGCCTTGAACCGCCCTGCCGGCGCGGGTTTAGCGACGTCGCCGGCAGATCGCACCAGCGAAACCGACGCCGACGGATCGATCGACGTGACGTCACGGGCCGGGGCACGCAAGCGTCGTCGTTGCGTCGTGACAATATCTCGCACCGATTCCCGGTTTCGGTGTCGTGTCGGGCTCTCGACGACACGTTCCTTGTCTTCATACGGACATGCACCTGCCTGAGTTCTCGAGGAATGTGGTATTTCTTAGAAACAGAGGTAGAAGCCGACTAGATTTTCCCTAAGCAAACTGGAGTATGCTTTCATTTCAAAAGCAATGTATGACCATGTCGTTAAAAGGAAATCCTTGTAGACTTTTTATTATTTAGATACGTTTTGCCAGATTATATGATATGCAATTTGTTAGATAATGATATAATAGAATAACTTTGGTAAAAGGTTTCAGGAGCAATTCTTATCTGAACTAATTCGCACGGCTGACTATATTCCGTTCCTACACTACTTCGCTCAAACGGCTGCAGAGGCCATTCGATGAAATGTGCAATATTATTTACGCTAAATGCATTTTGCAACGTGCAATATTTTGAAACACTTGATTTCTAATAAATGTATTATTTAATGGTTCTTTTCACAGTAAAATACGCTCTACGAACAATATGATTTTATTGTAGGTAATAAAATGCATTTCGTACAATTTCATTCCATATTGAACAGAATGGTATTGTTGGAAATATACGATTGTTAATTTTTCAACCATTATTCGCGAATACGTTGCAGATGAATCGGACGGGCATAATATGGCCGAGTTAATTAACAAGATGGATTAAATTGTACGATCAATAACGCGTATTGAAAGAGAATCGTTTCACCAACAAATTCAATGCGAAAGCGTAACGATCCGATGTTACGAAAGAGAATAATAAAATGAAAAAATATTACGCTGGACTCTGTAAAAGATGAGACACATTTTCAGTTAAAAAAAAAAGTAGTTTTGTTTTTATACTTAAAAGTATTCATTTCCTATAAGCAATTTTATAAAGTATACAGCTGAGTATTTTCCATCAATTTTAATGCGAAATACATTTTCGAGCGGAAATAAATATGAAGCGAAGTGCACGAGCATTAAACGTTACCCCAATATTTTAACCGAGTTTTAAGAGCATGAAAGCGTATTTAACTTTTTATAAACATCCCACTTGAGTAGCCAATTACGGCCACACTAAAAATGAACGGTCGGATCACTATAATTTGTGTGTATCCACTAGGCACCCTCGAGAAGGGAACAACCGTTTTAAATCACAATCAAGTAAACGCGTTGATCGTGGAGAGCTGCCGGTTTATGTATGAGTGATTTACGAAACAATTAAAAGGATCGAGTGCCGTGCTATGACAACCCGTCAAAGAGTTATGGCAGTTCCGTGAGAAGTAATTTAGCGCAGCAATCGAGGCCAACCGCGTCAAATATGCGGTTCTCGCTAGGTTTCTCTTTAAATGTGTTGATTGTCATACAATTAAAATTGTACACTTTCTATGTAGAAGTTTTGTAGCTCCACGCAAGTTAAATTGGATCGCGATATTAACATCGTCCATTCAGAAACACATAGAACGTAATAATGAACGTTCGTTCAGATATACAAAACTTCGTTTTCAATTCCAATTATCTCCAAACGAAAACGAACTGACATAACGCCGTTCCAGTAACGAAGAAATGATATCGAGAATTAGGCGAGGTGCAAACACTCAACTGTACATACGGTCTTCTATTTATTATCGTGCCAACTCAAAAGGACAATGCGAGGCGTCGCTGGGAAAAGACAAAGACGCTTGTCTTTCTGCATGCAGTTATGTACGTCTCCTTTGGTTGGTTCGAATTGATTTCTCGCTTTGCCGCTTGTCCGTCCTACAATTGTTTGACGACGTTAAGGTCGAACCTACGTCTATGTATTATGTATTCCTTCTGTTCTTCAGTTCCTTGAGAATCACTTCGAGGATTCAACTTTAATCGCGTTAGCGCATCTCCAATGAAACCTGCGTTATCGTTTATTGTTTGACTATTGTTATTTTCGAGAAACAAAATCTTTAGTCAGTCTCTGGACAATAAGTTTAACAAATCGATGATACTATATTCTTCGTGGCAGAATCCATAGAACCGCGACGCGAACTCTTCCTTCAAATCATTAGTCACGCGCACCCTCGAACATTATTCTTCGCCGGGAAGAAAGAAAAGCACAAAAATGCGGCACCAGGTGAGTGACAGTACTCGATGGATGAATTAAAAAGCATGGAGAGTAAGGAGTCGCGAGGGAGATAACGTTTTTTGGCGTTCGTGAAGGATTCGTAATCGCCGGAATATGCTCGCGGGGCTCGTCTCCTTTGTTGCCGTCCTCGCCCCTTCTTTATGGGGTCCTCTTCACGACGAAGGACACGCACCTACAGGAGGGGTTGAACCGAGAGACGGGGGCGAGTATATTGAATTTCCGAAAAGCGCGTCGGGTTTCAAGCGGATGATACGCGGCTTGCTTATGCCAAAACGAGTTTAGCCAGCCTGGAGAGGGTCCAGAAACACGCCCCCGGCTGTTTCGCGTATTACGGGAAACAGCATTGTCCCACTGCGGTTCAACGCCGATCTCGTTGGATTTACACCAAGAATGTCGCGAAAAATAGTCCGTGTTACGCGATAAGTGGCCATTACTGAATGAATAAATCACCGTAAAAAATTAAGACCGAGTGGAATCTTTCTCTGTGGCCAAACGACGTGTCGTGTGCCACAAAAAGTATCAAATGGTATTTGACAAAATTAAAAATTCCGGTTAAATTGTATAAACAAACTGAATAAGTGAAGCATTCAAATAGTCTATAAATTCGTAGCGTCATATCGAATTTTGTGTTTAAAATACATCGTATCCTTATCGTCGGAAAATGAATCGGACAAGATTACAGACGATACACGTTTTTCGCCTAGATTGTACATGTACACGTCGTATAGTGTATAGCCATACAAGTGTCTGGATCGTGCCGAGGTTTCGAGTATCGGTACAGGAGGAAAATTGCCTCGGGGGCAAGAGGCTATGCGCATGCAACTACCAATTCAAGGCTGACATTGCTTCCTTGACATAATCGAGATAATCCACTTGAAGTCATTTTAGCTCGTTTCCAGCAAGTTTCCTGCATTTTTTTTTTTAATCTAAAGAGGAGACTAGAAATGTCAATGTATTATGCTTCGGCATTAATATTTCCTTCCTTGTAACTGCATTTCAAATTTTAGAGTATTTCAGTGAAATGCATTCAAATCGTTCATTCATCTGAATCATCATTGATCAGAGTTTCCCTGCCGAATCACGCTGGCCCATATTCGAGCGAAAATTGCGGTACACTTTCTTATCTAACGGACTGGTTCGTAATACAGGACATTCGTGAGAAATTATTGTCGCACATCCAATACGATTTATATGGGCGACACGTTTGAAGGAAATCAAATGAGGTTGAATAGTTGAACGAGTTGAATAAAACAGACCACGCTTCAACGAGATTCTATTCAACCGAGACGAATCCCAAATTCAATGTGACCAATTTAATCGAGATGATCAGCAGCGATCTATTTTCTGTCCTTCTTCCATTGTCTAACTCACAATGTAGTTTCTTATATCAACAATTTTTTTTAAATATAAAATCGTTCCTTATCATTATGATAGTCGGAATTAATTGGTAAAAAGAGAATTTTCAGCTATCTTTACACCCTGGCCACCCTCCACCCACCCTGCTCTATGAAAGAATTTCAGTTTTAATTTTCTACTTCAAAGACTACTGTAAAATCATTTTTAATATTCCAACTGGTTAATAAGAAGCTAATAGGATTTCATGGACGAGAAAATTCAGCGAGGAGGTCTAAATAAAAAAGCGAAATATGGATATGGAAGTTAATTAACTGATATCTCGGAGGGTTTATTTAATTCAATCGAAGTAATCCGTGTAACCAAAGATAACCGCGGTAATCTGACGTGAGCTGGAGCTGAGTAATTGGAGGCCCACACGAAATTAGCCCCGCAAAATTCGTCTAATTAAACGCCGTTAGTACGTGCTGGCATGACCACTCGCTGCATGAGCCTTATTCAGATACCGCGGCACGACTTCGCGAAGTGATTCACGCTAGAGTAACTCGACTTTCGTCGCAGGTGCGCCTATCTGTGTTTGAAAATTTTTTAACTCAACTCACGATTGGTTTTATAACGAGACGATTTACATTCGAATAGTAATGTAATTCTTATTTGACTTGAGTTCCACGTAGCTAATTCCCAAAGGATTTTGTTCATTGGTAGAGTATATAATATGAATAAGCAAAATGAAATGAGTTTATGAATAATCTTTTTGGTACCAATTATTCACTGGTTATTATATTATATTTGATAAAAATTGAGATTAATGAAGAATACTGAGCGAATGACAAATTGGAATTCGGGATGGGTCTACGCTGATAAATCTGGCGGCTTGTATTTTGCATTCACGTGGTAGCTGTGACTCATCCTACCGAAACACGTGCACAAAGAGACAGCAAGATGCCCTCTTGAAAATAAATGGACGAAAGCATGCATAATGAAGTGCACTTTGTCTTTAGGGGTCTTTTTAGTGGTTTTGAAATGTTTTCGGAAAAGATTGAATTAATTCTCGACTTCGTTTATTTACGGAATCTCTAAAATCGTTCATGGTTTATATTTCGTTTTATTTTATCTGCTGCATGCACGATCAATTATACTGACAATTTCTACTTGTGTATTCGTAAAGATGTTAAAAATTTGTAATATAGTACCTGAGTTCTTATGGAAATTTAGAAAGGATCTGAATACATTAAATGTATGTAATACCGAATAAACTGGGTGTTAATAATGTAAGCAAAGCCTTGCATAAAGAAGAGGCGTAAATGAAGCACGTGAACGACGGATGAGAAGACGAGATATTGATTCGCGAAGAGTGTATACTTAAGGTTTATAAGCCTCTCAACTCAAGTCGCAGTGAACCTCGCGTAGACGATTTTCACTTTACGGTACATTAAAATCAGTCTTAATATAAAAAATTAGAAATTTGTCGTCACTTCTTGATTCATGTTAGCTAGCTTCGTAAAATCGTTCTTTTTCCGGACCAACTACACTTTTGCCGCGTTACTATACAGCTTAATACATTTTGAAGTAATAATTTTATGAACTTACCTTTCGTGGTCGTGGCCATAAGACGGATTTATTCTGCGCGCGTACAGCGATGCACCGCCCTCGGACATGTAACCATCGCAGAGGTCGGACAGGGTTCGACTTCCGACGGTCATACCACCGCGAAGTACCTCACCATCGCTTAGGTAACCAGAGGTGACGTCGATGTCCGCGTAATCGTGACCGACATGATGATGGGACGAGGAATGAAGAATCGTGTACTGTCGCGCGGTCGTTCTACTCGGCAGGGTTTGAAGAGCCCTCGCGCCCGGCGTGTAACCGCGAAGCAGAGGCTGCATCGGCTTTACCGTCATCTCGGCCTCGTCGTCGCCCATCGAACCGCCACAGGTTGAACTTTCCGAGAGAACCTATGGAAATAATCAAGATTATAATACTCTGATCTTTGAAGCTAATCTTTCAGTAGATTCTAAGTCGATAATACATGTTCTGATTTAACCGCGAACATATAACGCTGACATGAGAGTTTATCAATTACCGTTTAAATGCAAAATATAGAGAGAAATGCTGAAGCATGATAATAACAGTAGGGGTACGAACCTTTTCCATTTGTTCGAATGTTGTGTCAATTTTTCTATTGGGTATAGTTTTGATCTCGCTACCGCTTTCGCTGCTGGGCCTATAAATTACGCTGCTGTCGCTCGAGTTGCTCTGGCCCGTGCTATTCGAATTGCTATGGGAACTCTCAGACATCAAATCCGAGATGCTCGGCATCGGTGACACCATCGCGACCGTGTTCGGATCTAGCTTACGATGCAAAGCGTCTGCCTTCAATTTCGTGGGCGTCGGTGCGCCCGGCATGCCGTTTTCCTTCGGCGGTTTCGAGGTGCCTTTCACCAAGGCCGTGGGCTTCGGAATGCTGGAACCCGGGCTCCCGGAACCGTTCAAACCCGAGCCCTGCAGAGGACTGTTCAGGATCGGCGGTTGCTTGTTCGCTCCAAAGTTCAAGTTGGAAACTTGGGAAGGAACCGAGTGATTCGTTACGGGGTGCGTTGTTGGTCCCTCATGTACGTCCGCCAGTTTCTCGTCCGTCGTTGATTCCGGATTGTTGCGAGGAGAATTAGGTATTTGCCTCTCGTGCGCGCGTTCCGAATCTTGCACCTCGTTCGAAACTCTGGCTTTCGCCGACAAGCTTGCGTCTCGCTGCTTCGATGGACTGTTCGCATTTTCCATCGATTCCGACTGGTTATTCCTTAACACGGTCTCGCTTATCTGTTTATGCTTGTCCATCTTCTGGTCGCACAGATTCGCCTGATTCATCGTCAATGTGTGATCGATCGACAGACTATTTTCATCGGTCATCATCTCCTCGGGCTGCTTAATCATTCCGTTCGCATTGTTCATTAATCCCTTTTGCACCAAAACATCTTTGTTTAATCCGTTCGGTGGAGCTTTCATATTTTGCAAGTGGATCTTCGCGTCCGGTATCTTAGCTGGTAATTCCATCTTCGGTCTCGACGATTGCTTCGACGTATCGTTCTTCAAACTGCCGAAGTTCTTCGTGTCCTGCGGGGTGATTTGCTTGGCGGGGACCAACATCGAAGGATTCAATTTTTGCAATTGGCTGCTCGGTTGTTGTTTCAATAGATCGTGGAAATTGGAAGACTTCTTATCCATGGCCAGCTTAGTGCCCACGCCACCGATTTTACTAGCCTTGACATCTTCCAGAGGTGGATTATAGCTGCCTAGTTTATCGGGCACACCTTTCGTTCTCGCGATTTTGCTCTGAGCTTTGCTCTGCTCCTTCCTCACGGTCTTCGGGCTCGCTTGTTTCGCCGCTTTAGTCGACTGCAACTTTGACTTCAGTGCTCGACTCTTCGGCGACTCTAGTTGCAGCTGCTTGCTCTGATCGCATAGAGATGTCGAACTGTCCGAATGTTCTGACCTGGCGGACGAAAAGCCGGAAGAACTCGATGTACGCTTCGACACACCCGACGATGCTTTCCCGCGGTCTTGGTTTTTCTCTTTGTTGTTGAAGAGCTTGAACTTGTCCAGGACAGAATTTTTATTTTGCTGTGCGGGCGCTCCCGGCGCGGTATATGGGGAAGGTTGAGCAGACCTCACGCTACTGGGTTTGCCTACCGTCGACGTCCGAGGGCTGAAAAAATTGACATCCATTGATTACCTTATCGTCCCATAAAATTAGTATATTATGTTTGACATCAATCTTACAGTTAATCCATACTTAATTCTAAAGTAGTCTGATTCCGACACCTTGACTCGCAAGAATTTGTTCAACACAATTTCGATGCAAACATCAAAGAACGAATTTAGTTTGGATTACCTGTACCGCATCATCTTCAAGGAAAATGGATATTTACCTTGGCGTGGTAGCTGCGGGTTGCCTGTTTGTTGAACTCTGATTTCTCGGCTGAGGGATGAAGGAGAGCCCGGACTGCGCCGACTGTTGCTGACTCGGGCTCGTGCTTCTGGAACTACTCGCGCTACCTATACCGTTACCCTGTTTCAAGCCACCTGAAACAGCAAATAATTGTCTCCTTAATTAACCGACTTCCAGGAGAACAGTAAAATGAAAGTGAAGCAAAAATTGTGCCACGGCTTTCGCGTCAGCTTTAACCGGGGAAGTTCAATAAATAACGACGGAATAAAGAATCGTAATCCGGATAACTGTAGGGAACGCGTCGAGAAGAATACGAAAAGTATCTACGTCCGCAATAATGGAGGAACCATTAACCGACTTTCTATCCGTCCAGCGAAAAGAGTTTCGATATTGCAGAATATAACCGCAGCAAGTCCACTCGAAACGTTTAATTAAACGATCGACGATATAAATCCATCCGGTCTTTTCCTATCCAACGCGTTCACGCTGTCGTTGGCCGCGACTCAATAAAACGACGATCGGTTGGCTCATTAACCAAGCACAGTCGCAATACTGTGGCAGCGGTTCAACTCCTTAGCCGTGTGTCTGGGCAAGTACTATATGCGCTGTTTGCAGACAAAATAAACCCCGCAGACGGTCTATATGCAGATTATAGCGAACGCACGTGACAGCCACCGTTTACCATGCAACAAGATTAATCCGCTACCTCTCGTTCCTCAATCTGTCGCTACCCTCGCGGACATTGTTTCCAACGAGTGATTCACGTTATCGTCGGACAAACTTCCAACGCATCGAATTGAAATGGATAATTCACTAACGCACAGACAATAATGCTTGTAACTATGCTAACGACTGAGACTGTGCTACCTGTATTGCGTTTCATATAGAAGATTTAATATTCTACAAATTCAACTGTTTAGAATCATAACGAAGTTACGAGTCAGACTGTACGGTATACCTAAATTGCCGCAATGAAGATTCCCGATAAATTTTAATCTAGATCATGGAACAGCTGCGTTATCCTATGATCCGCACTGCACTGCCAGCTGCCACAAGTTACGCAATTAGTATGTGTCGCTCTATTGTCGCACGCTCGTAATTAGTAAAAAGATAAAGTGATTCATGAATAAAACCCTGGACAACGTGTTCGCCATCTGATACCACTGTCTTCTTCGCGTATTTCATACGTACAGCTGTATCCTGCGAGACTCGAACAGCGACTACGTCAACTTATTAATTAGTCTATTATAAGCTTTGATAAAAAGCATGATCTGTTCATATTTCATGTTTGCTAGCAATGACACGTGTCTGGATTAGCGCACCGCGGTTCAATTAATCGAACGAAGTTTTTAAGACCTCGTTGCAGAGGGAACGCGTTTAGCACAACAAAGGATCCGCCGCGTGATTCGATCGCGTTCAATTCATAATTCAAACCGTCGTGTACTACACACACTATCCAATTTGCATGAACCTCTGTGAACGCCCGTTCACCGGCCGCGCGCAATAATTCGCCCGCGGTGAATCGTATTAAGAATCAGCACCGTAAATCAATTCCTGCGTCTACTTAAATTAATTTCGACTGCGCAGCGCGCGCCGCTCTCACGTTCGATCGTTGCTCGTTGCTGGTAATCTCGACGACATAGCAGCAACGGGGTGATCGTTCTTCATTGGCACCGGTGCTGACACTGATTCGCCGTAATAACGGAGCCTAATTCCGTCGGTCGACTCGCTCAATTGTCAAACTACGTGACACAAATCGGATACACACGCGAGATGAACGTTCGAGGGAGGCTGAGAACGGAGGAATCTTACGACGACGTGTCCCGCACTTTATTAGTTTAACCCTTTATCGATCGTTCCTGACCAATTGCAACCAATCGTGACCACGCTAATGCACGGTCGTGCTTGTTCAGCGTACACACTTTATCCCCCCACCAGTTTTCGAGGCCATAAACCGAGCGTCGCAACTGGGTATACCGCGACTTAGGTACAAGTTTTATTTTTCGCTCTAACGTGATTTATGCATTAAGTATGTATATATACTATCACGAGGTTTATATCTACGATCTACGTCGTGACAACTTGGAAGAGACTAACCGGAGCTGCTCGCCCTATCAAAACCTCGAGAGTCACAGGGTGTCGTAATAAATTCGATTTCTTTTTTATCAGAGGATTCAGTATAGGCATCGCTGACAAAGAAGGGAAGACGAGGGAGCGGCGAGATCAGGCGGAGAAGTTAAAACGTGACCGAGCATTAGACCTCGCCTGTCACGAAAATGATTCATTGTAAGTTCGAGCACGACCGATCGATCCGTCGAGATATTAACGACATCCGCACGCCCCGAATTCTCGAACGGTGACCAGGGCGCATCAGGAACCACCTGCACCATCTCTTCTACCCTTCTTTTTAACCCTATTGTTCCTACGGCAGGTGTTTCCCATTGTGCGCCTGTAGGAATTATGTTATGCATTTTAGGTACCACCATTTGTAAAGAATTTCGATAAATGCTACGCATTCATTTTAATACGAATGGAATAGAATAATTGGAGAGAAACATAATTTTGAAACAGACTGCTCCTGAATTTTAACATAAAATACTGTGCTGTCTAACTTCGCTGTATTGAATGGCTGAAATATCTGCTGATTAAATGCACGGATTCCTAATTAAACAATGTACGCCGCAATTAGGCCAACTATGAATGCGATTCCGTAGCCAATGTTTGACGAGCACTCGACGATGGTCTTGATTAACGAGTGGATACGGGCACCCTTCATAGAGCAAGTCACCACTTCAGTTACCACCCTTGAATCGATGCGATATCTATGCGATTCTTCAATGAGAAATAATTTTCAAATTTTTCAATGCTCTAACATTTCTGTGTTTGATCCTTAAGCTAACGATGTACTCGGCTACGTATATCTTAAGACGAATTAGGTAGCGGAAACGCGTATTGTTAGCGTAACAACCAGAAGAAGGAAACACTTTATGTAGTAAATTGCAGTGATTCTTTTCAACGTTGACGTTGCTATACGAAATATATAGTGAATCTTGAATGCTATTCCATCCATAATCAGATATAAATTTCATATATTTTTATGTCACGTATTGTTGATTATAATAAAATAAATATTGCAATATAAATCACAGTTCTACATAATATGTTGTTACAGAAGGTTCAAAAATTGTGAAACATAAATTATTGGTGCAGAGCAGAGTACTAGAAAGAGCAGTTCTAATTAACATCGAAAACATTTAGAAGCTAAAGGACGGAGAGTACCCACGGTTCTAAAGGGTTAGTAGCAAAAAACATGCATGTTAGGCAAGACTTGTTGCGCATTCATGGCAGTGGGTTTGTACTTCAGTTGCATTTCTTTGAACACTGTGCTCCGAGCTTGACTTTGTTCTAATTTTACCACTTATACAATCCAACAGTACCCGCTGTTTAAAGTTAATTTAAAAAATAGCTTTCTGCTAAATGTACAGACGTTATCCCACCTCGCAAAAACCCTCGCATTGAATAAATATGCTAAAGCTTTTATTTGAAAGAATGTAGGATTCTAATTCGCACTTTTCTGTAGATGTTATTTTGGATAAATGGAATAAAATTTCGATGTATATACCAGCTTGAACGATTTTTACGCAATGTTAAATTTATGACTCACCATGTTACACGAATACCAATTAACGAAGAATACATAAATCCTATGCACTGATCGGTCCCTCACGATAATTCTTTATTAGTACACAGGAACGCGCCGCATTTTAATATTAAATTTCGAGCATTCGCGTGCCCCGTCTTAACGTAAACTCGCATGTGATTGCATTTCGTACGGGTGCAGTTCCATACTGTCCCACTCGACGCTCTCCTCCCTCCTTTTGTTTCGTTGGTACACTCGTCGGCAAGAGTGCATCAACGGACGAGGGAGCAACGAAGAGCGCGCGGTTGCATTAGTGCGTCTTTAACGGTGCACGAACTCATAAGGGCATTGCATCGGGGCTGCAGTTGTCTGCGTACGTTCATCGGGTGTATGTATATTAAACGCGACGTTCACGTATGCGTGCGTGCGAGCGTACGATTGACAGGCCAAGGCGATTAACTTCAGTGGTAGCTCTCGTGGATACACTGACTCTTCCTCTATCTTCGCCTCTCGCCTCTACTCCTCCTTCTCTAATTTTGATAGTCTCCGCAATCGAAGCTTGTTTATTTTCTTGAAACTGATAAAGTATCATTAAACTCTAACGAGAAGATTAATAAGTCAATTTGAGAGCTTGTCTTTATTCAATTCGATACTCTTTTTCAATGTAATTACAACGCGACCTTGTAGACTTCGAATTGAAAATTTATTGATATTTGATCAATTTTAATTAAATGTAATTGAACATTTTTTAAATATAGATTTACATAGTAAAACTTGCAAACATGTTTCGATTGAGAACCTCTGGGAAACGTGCAGTGCATGCGATATGTGTACGGAACTCCATTGGCACACCGGTGGATTTACCGAGAACGGAAGATCAGCGCGGAAATTAGCGGCAAAACGATTTCTTCATGCTCGTCAAACTAAACTTAACCACGCACTTAACTCCTCGTCAACTTATTACAGGCAACTAGGTAATGACAGTAAAAATCTACGAATTAAATATACCGTATTATATAGATCAACACATATTTTATCATCGGCATCATCACGAACTACTATTATTAAATGATAAGAATGTGGAAAACTTAGCTTTGAAATTACTAGACGAACACATGTCTGTTATTGACTGATTCTATTCCAGTCGAGCAATCGAATTAAATATCTATATATAACATGTATAGTTGGATGACATAGAAGATTGACAATTTGTCGAGCGTATCGGATACAGAAGCTACTCCGTTTTTGAAGAACAAACAACGGGAGAGAATCGACAGCTCTCTGATAGTACACGTGTAGTATAACAAATAGTCGAAAGCTCGGACTAGCAGAGGCAAGGCAGATTTCATCGCTGCGAGGCAAATGTCAATCGAGGGTAAACGCTTTCAGATTGCCACATGAGACTGTCTACTCCTGACTCCCACATATGTTACAGCTTGGTATATCGGTTTCTGTTTTCTTTTCCCACCTTTGGCATATCGAATTACAGTCGAG